GACAGCTCTTCCTCATTGGTTGTCCCGCAATTTGATTGGCTCGATGCTATTGTGTCAAAACAACGTGGGTCTAATTTGATTGGATGTTGTGCCGACAGCTCATACACACACAGACGCACACAAGTACACAATGAGAGACACGGAGCACTCCTTAATAACTTACTTTATAATCTTTGGGTTTTGGAGAAAGTATCAAGTCTTGTCGAGTCAAAGGGCTCGAGTCCAAGTGAGTCCAAGTCACGAGTCATTGATGTTAAAGTCCAAGTCGAGTTGCGAATCTCTTTACATTTTGTCAAGTCGACTTTAAAGTCCTCAAATTGATGACTCGAGTCTGACTCGAGTCCAAGTCATGCGACTCGAGTCCACACCTCTGGTATTTAGTAGTTCAAGCAAATGTGCAGTACTTTCTTGTGCCCACTTAGGGGCTACAGGTAATGACAGTTTATTAGAAAACCCCCCCTTTACTGGACTTTACTTGAGAGTTTAACAGAAACATGAAAGTTGGGGTCTTAATTATAAGCCACACTGAGCACAACGGTACATAAAACACTGTTTTGACATCCATCCCGCATCCAAGTAATGATCTTTATAACGTGGATCAAGTACAGTCGGGACAAAGTGAAGGGGATCCAAATAGGTTTTAGTGAAACGTGTGATGAGAGACTCTATGAGTGTACTTTTCCGTCTCAACCTCTTTGCTTAGAAGACGCTTTAGGGCTGCATTTTAAGGAATAACATCTGCTACAGATGCATCAGAGGAGCTGGTCTCTTTAGTTAGCTGCTCAAACGGGGCAAGAGGAGTGAGAACGTCCTCGATTAAAACGCACGCGGTGTTAAGTAAACGTCGCGGAGAGCTCATGGTCCACGCTGTATGCAGCCAAGACTCGCTTTTGCGCAAAGAGGCTTTCCTTTCATATTCAGCGTAGCCATCGGGATGTTTGGATTTCAGGTGATACATTAAAACCCGTGGAGAAATCCCTTGCAGACGAACGCCTTATTTTAGCGTTACACGAAAAATTTCAGCATTACACGTTTTGCAGATATATTGAATTGCGCCCACACCGCACAACATGTTGACATTTTCAGACCAGCCCGTGTTGGCTGCGCTTTTTGCTTGCACAAAATACAGTACATTACATCATCACTCCCTATTCTATCCGTTTTGTCTTTGCACTTTTGGGCCATTTTGGGCCGAAAAAATTTCCCAGTGGTGCAATATTCGGTGTATCCCTAGTATTTTGTTTTGCCCACAACAAATTCAATTTTCAAACTGCCCATGTCCGTTCATGTTCTGCCACTTATTCGCTTTCGAGGTCGCAAGGGGCTCTAGGGTCAATCCCAGCTATCCATGCAGAAAGATCAACCAGGAATGGAAACTCGAAAACCAACCTGGCTGCTCCAAGCCATTATCTCTGCAAACAACGTAGCAGTACAAACAGCACCATAGTTTACGCCCTTACGGGGGTTTTTAAGACATACAATTTGTAAACTAAATTTTTATAAAATCACAGTTACAGACTTGTACCATAACATACAGCATGCTATTATTATTCAGCACTAAACCAGCACTAACAGTAGCAAAATGTATTCAATTTATGTCTGTTTTGTTTTCATGGTTTCATCATGAAGTATTGACTAAAAACAATATTTAATATTATGTATATATATATATATATAATATTTAAAAATAACATAAATGCGGCCTAACAAATATATAAATATTCAAAGATGTCAGAGTCTCAGAAGTTAATACCTGCAATGTTTATTTGCAAGAGGATTCTATACTGTATAGTCCGTTCAACGTGTACAGTCATTTCTGGACTACAAGTCGCTACTTTTTTCATAGCCTTTGAACTTATAGCTTATTTACGGGCTAACGAAGTTCATACCGCTAGCGGTCAAAGACTTTTCTGGTAGGCTACTGCATGTTATACTAGTAGCGTATGTCTGTCCTGTCTGTGAATGGCTGTGTGGGTATATGTGCATGGGGCGCGAGAGAGAGAACGTTAGCGTAAGTTGAGAGCAGTTTGAGCCTTGTGATGTTGAAGTATGAGTTGGTTATACAGGAGCTGTTCAAACGCTGTTTAGGTGCTGTTGTGCTCAGTGTGGCTAATATGAAAGACCCAGAAACCATTGGCCGTAAACAGACAAACATCACAAAGCCAACCCCCCAATAACCTCTGTACCTGTGGCAGGGCGATGGACAGCTGCCTCTGAAGTGACTCCTTTTCGTGGCCCAGTTCTCGTAGTCTTAGGTGGGCAGTACCCAGACTATCCTGAGTTTCCCTCAAACTCTCCAGCAGCCTCTCTCTCTCAGTCAGCATGTTCACCATTAGCGACTCGAGGTTCCCCGTGCTTCCCCCTTCGTCGCCACCTCGAGGATCTCGGCCGCTGTATCCCAGTCCTCCTAAACCTCCGCCCATGCCTGCGCCTCCGCTGCCACCGGCAGGGGAAGACAAGCCACCCCCTGCAATGCCACGCCCATCTTCCGAGATAGTGGGCATCACCTCGCACATCATCCTGAGACCTGAGTGTGGGAGGTCTTATCTGAGAGAAGGTGCAGTGTCTAGTGACGGTAGAAGGCTCTCTTCATGAAAGATCCAACTGTCCTTCTACCAAAGTGTCTCACCAAAACTAAAGGTCACAAGGGCGTTGAGAAGTGAGGTGAGAGACCAATGTGGATTGACAGGGGCTTGGTGGGAATGAGGGAGTGTGGGTTGGGGTGGAGGGTAAGAGGGGATATATCTATGGGCAACTTCTCACCCACAGGGAACCGCAGGCGTTACTGAGATTTGCTGTGAACCTGGAAAAGAAAAAAAAAGGCAAATATGTAAGGATGCTGTAACAGGATATTTCAAACTAAAAGGTGTTGTTCCTAAAGACGTTGATAGAAATGAATTAAAAGAAACCTGCAAAATACTCTTTCCGATCTGCATCAATAAAATTTGCTGAAAACAACTGTTCATTATTGCCGTATTTTCCGGACAACAAGTCGCACTTTTTTTTCATCCTTTGGCTAGGTTTGCGACTTATATGTTAAAATATATAATAATTTCACATGTTAGTTACTTTCACACTGACAGCCGCTAGAGGGCACTCTAGGCTTGTGTACCAGTATCTGCTATTCCTGTACCACTGCAAATGTACATGTTCGTTATTTTTACACTGACAGCCACTAGAAGGCACTCTAGCTGGCTGGTGCGACTTGTACTCTGGAGTGACTTATAGTCCCAAAAAAATCAGGTAGTGGTAACAACCTTGTTTGACTTCACCCTAGGACAGGGGAACCCAATAAGTAAAAGGAGTGCTGGTAGATTATGAGCAATAACAATAACAATAATCAAATTACTCAAATTATAATAAATACATTATATAAAGAGTATTCAGCTTATATGAGAAAGTACATACTTAATATTTCCAATGTATGTAGATACTTGCAGCCTGTTTGTAAAAAAAAACACAAAAAACTCCAGAGGCAAATATTGTTGTTATCACTTTCAAAATGCTTCTTACTGTACAGAGAATTTCAGACTTTCAGACACATTTAAAGTGTCTTAGTTTTGAAGGGAAGCTCAATTTATTAAAGTAAGAAAAAGCTCAAATGCATTGGACAACCGCCACAAATGTAACCCTAAACTCTGGCAGTATTCACATTGATACCAACTTCCCTCTGGATGGTCCAGTTAATATTTAAAATTCCATTGATACCAACTTCCCTCTGGATGGTTCAGTTAATATTTAAAATTCCCAGCTTTTTAAAAAAAAAAAACGCCCCCAAACCAGCAATCAAAACCAGAGAATACATCATATAAGAGATCCACATTATATCACTGATGTACGTTTATACTCGGTTATGGTGATTTTGAAAGCATTGTTGTTCTATTGATGTATTTTTGGGCTTAAGTTTTTTGGGGGGGTGTTTTGAGTTTTGAGTTAAACTGTCTCAATTCAAAATGCAAAACTGGCACTTTATCGGCTTTGGTTTTTGGCTGCTCTGGAAACATGCTCTGGAAATATTCCAAATGCGTGTGTATGTGTGTGTTTGTTTACACATATGTCCGTCTTAATCATACCAAAAAAGCTCACACACACAATGCCTTACACAGAAATGTAACAGTGGTTATCAGAGTTATGGTGATTGTTATGGGACTCACCTTTGTCATCGAAAACTCCTTCTTCAAAGAAAAACCTTATCTTATCTCCACTGGTTTGAAAATACTCCGTGTTTCCCTGTGGGTCAAATATTACGATGAGGACAATATCAGAGTACATGAACTTACAAATACAGGTGCCCTCGCTCACACACAGATATATACACATACACACACACACACACACATATATATATTTATATATATATATATATTATTAAAACGGTCGAGAAGGCATACAGTGTGATGTTCCACAATTTGTGTCTGGAGGAACAATAATTGAAGGGTTTTATCAGGAATTGTAATTGCGGTCTGTATCCAGGAGGAAACAGCACCGGAAATCATCATCATCATCCTCTCTCATCATTCTGCTGAATCTGGACGTTTATTCTTTTCTTTGATGAAAATGACTTGATGTCCTCGAAAATAAACTGAGGGTGGGAGGGGGGTGGACGAAAATTTTAAACGTATTACACACGAGGAAGGGACGCGAGTACAGTACGTTATCAAATCATGGTGGGACACGCCAATCATCATGTACACGATGGAGGCCTTTAAATCAGAACCAGTACGACGACGACAAATTTCCAACATTCATATTTAAATATTATGCGTTTCACCGTAATGTCACGATTCTAACGATGCTTTGCTACGTTTTTGTTTCATTCTGTTATCAACATCCCATTCACTCTTGCTCCTTTCTCCCTTTCCACCGCTATTCACATACACACGCCCAGAAAAAACAGGGCCTGGGGCAGACCGAGCAGGTTTTTACCGGCTCTTACCCTTTTCATGTTCGGCCACAGAGAGAGCAATCGTCGCTAACTCGGTTCACTCCATAAGCCGCAGGTTCTTATTCTTTCCACCGTCACAGCCCCATTAGCAGCCCGCCCCGTCCCCTCCTCATCCCCGCTGAAGAGAGCGACACTTCAGCCTCAATGCTGCGTCAATGCAGGTGTAAGGAGTGTAGAGCCAGCTACCGGTCAAGACTTTCACAGTAAAACACACAACTGGCGCGGCGACTAGTTATCCACAGTCAAGCAATGTGATGTTGCATAACATGACGTACAGTAGCATGATGTAAAACTACAAAACACGAAGCCGAGTATAATATGCCATGAATACAACGTAGGTTAATTACATTTTATATCGTTTATATCATGGCACATCGTAATACGGAAGTATTTTCATTTTTTTCCGAACGTAATTTTATTGAATGTCAAGGAATGTGATAATAAGCCGTTCCTCATAAGCAACTTATAAAATGTAACAATTTAATGCCGTTATATTTTATGCGACGTATTAACGTAATTTAATTTTACGAATGGGCAAAATTACTCGGTCCCTAGAGAGTGTTAAAAGTAGAATATTTTTTAGGTAAATAAACCGGTAAATAGCTCGAGTCTGTGTGTTAAAACAGTGTGTTGGAAATGCACTGGCATGCGAAACAGCATGAAATGGTCTGTCTACATTAGTAATAAACAAATGTAAAATATAAATCTCAAATGTGGAGCCTTTCCGCTCCTGGGTCTATGATTCTGTGTAACTTGACGTACCACCCTAACGCTTCTCTCCTCACCTCCGCCTTCACTAGCCTCTCTCGCTGAAGGATGCTGACAGTTAAAGGAGCAGCGCCACCACCTGCTGGCGTGGTTACAATGCTGTGGCCTCACTTTGTGCAAATTTTCTGTCGTTTTCCGTTACGTTTGACACTTCACTTATCACAATAAGTAGCGTTTTTCTATTTAATCATGACAGGTGGTTGGTGTACTCCACCAAAAAGTAATTTTACACTTTGTCGCCCCCTACCTCCGAGATATCATTAATGCCAGTTCAATTTAAGGATTTCACTCCGTGTACGTATTTAAGATTTGTGATTGTCAAATGAAACAAAAAAAATGTTTTAATGTAATTTTCAAAGCGCTACAGAGCTATACTACGGGAAGATGGACAGAGGCAAGTGCTCAATACAAGTTAGACCGGAAATAGTTAACATTAAATTAAAACAAAACTAAATGAATAGCAAGGATATGCAAGATTTACAAATTTAACATTAAATTAAAACAAAACTAAATTAATTAACATAGCAAGGATTTGCAAGATTTACAAATAAATAGTTCGATACATTTAAAACTTGACTTAGAAATAATGGCCAAATCATAATCATAACTACAAGTTACCCAAAGTGTTATATCTTGATCAAACGTGCGCTGAATTACTTTTATTAGAGAAAATAAAAAAGTATAAATGAATTCTTATATTAGATGATAGATTGCAGACTCCTCCGGTGTAACTTTTTTTAAATGATATTATACATGGTAAGGCAGGATTTACACTTCAGGAGGGAAGGAAAGCAGACACCTTTCCTGGGTCACAAGAGGTCATAAGGTCTCAGAAATGCTAAGGTGAATGCTAGGGAGACAAGAACGTTGTCAACAGTGTGAGTCCTGAGACCAACAGTGATCCATAAAACAGGATGAGGCTGAAAATTTTTAAAAAAAAATACCCCCCCAACTTTCATATTACATCATTCACAAAAAAGGATAAACATTTTTAGTTTTAACAAAATGTTATGTATTGTTACATTTTATTTTCCCTTTTTTATTGCATATGTGAGAACATAGGAAAAAAAAAACATTTACACAGAAAATTTTTATTTTCATGTTTTATTTTCTTGCGAGAAAAATTGGTTTGTCACATATTAATACAGAGTACCAGAGAGCCCAAGGCACGCAACCCGGCTGGGTTGTCTCTTTTGTACAAAACAAGAAAAAGAAAAAGAAATTGAACCAAAATGGGAATTACAGTGCACAAAATAATAAGCTCATCCAAAAGGATAATTGTTGGTCTGACGAGAAATAATGAGCTAACATAGGTGCTAACAGATGCGACTTATATATATTAAAATATTAATTTCACATGTTGGTTATTTTCACACTAACAGCCGCTAGAGGGCACTCTAGACTTGTGTACCAGTATCTGCTACTCCTCTACCACTGGAAACGTACATGTTGGTTATTTTCACAATGACAGCCGCTAGAGGGCACTGGTGCTTATATATGGGGTTTTTTGTTTCTTCTTCTCTTCATTAAGCATTTTTTTGGCTGGTGCGACTTAAAATACGGAAAATACAGTAAGTCCGGGATAGTGGAGTTCTCCTGGTCTTTAGTTATGAACCATAGTAGAGTCAAGTAAATATTAGAGTCGTTCTCAATTATTTTCTGCCATGCCCCCCCAAGAGGATAGATTTTTTTTTCACCCCCAAAATTGAAATACTATTGAGAAGCTGATAATATGTATTTTCCTATCCGAGAAATACTGCATTAATACAAAGAAGTACTGCATTAATACAAAACGTGGACGATAAAGAAACATAATAATGTACATAGGTATTCCATTACACATACTTGAGGGTTTCTGATCATGAAAGGACCCGCTCGGTTACACCCCTAGGTTAATACAAAGCTAAATCAAGGTTTAAAGTTGAAATGAACACATTCAGCAGATCAGTCATTGGTGGACGGTGCAAGTGAAGCAGGTTAATTAATGTCTGTGTAGGTTCTCAGTCATCCAGGTCCATTTAATCCAAAAAAATAGTTACATCGGCAGAGAGGTGAAATGTCTTCAATAAAAACCTACCCTGTCTAATTGCCTTCAATGTAACTATTTTTCAGGTTCGATTCAAATTCTATGATTTATTTTTGTTTCCTTTTCCAGTCAGTCCTGTTGCCAGTGAGTGAGTCACTCGTTTTAAAAAAAAAAAATCAAATATTTCATACAACCCCTCTTCAAATACTTCAGTTTTTTTCATATTTAGGGTCTTTTAAGATCTTGGAAAAACAGCAACAAATATTCCAATCATTTTTAAAGTTCAAAGACTCAACATTGAAACTCTGCCAACTGAAACCTAGCACAGATAATTAAAGTTCACATACGTTAACATATGCAAAACAAACAGCGAGTCTGCTCGCATAATCCAGTTTATGACGAACATCTATAGCAGTGTCAGTGTCAGTGTGTGTGTGTATTAATCCCGTTAAAGAGATTTCAGTGGAGACTCAGCAGGTAAATTCTTCTGTGCCTCATTTTCCTTATCAACTACGCTTTTAGATTCTGTTGAAAGGAGACAAACAAACAAGAAAAACAACAGTTGAAAAGGAGAACAAGAGGCATTAGCAAAGTTGTAGATAATGTAGATGGAGCTACAGGACGAAAATCAAGAAGGAAGAAGGGAGAAATAAAGGGGAGAAGAAGAACAGCAACAAGGAAAAAGAAATAAGAGGAAGGGGGGATATTATCGGGAATAGAAGAGAAAGCAGAAAAAGGAAAGATAAGAAAAAGAATATATGGAGAGGAAAATGGGAAGAAATAAAACAGAACAGGAGAAGAAAAAAGTCAATTAACAACAAGAACAACAACAAAAGTATGACAAGGAAGAGCAGAAAGACAAAGAGATGAAGGAGAAAAAAAAAAACCTGAAAAATATTTAGGTACAAATCCAGAGATTTAACTTTCTTTATGTTTACCTTCATATTCTGCCTTTTGCAGCTGTGGCTGAAACTTGAGTTCTCCATTTGAACCAGCAGGGGGCAACTCCTCTGCTGCCATTTGCTTCTTTTGTCTTTGAGATATATCTAACACCGCCTGGAAAAAAAAGAAAAAAAAACAATAATGAGCCTAACTTTATCATTAAAGAAACCGAAATGAAATAGCACCAACAGAAGCTCTGTATATATTTGGTCATCATTTCAACAAAGAGCTCCAGCGTGGGGGACAAAGATGTGAAAATACCTGCTGGTATTCCCTCTTCTGAGCCTCCAGTGCTTTGCTCCCCTCGTTCAGCAGCTCCTGCTCTCGTTGAAGAGTCTCCACTTTCCTCTGTAGTTTCATCTCTTTCTCTTTAATCTCTGCTTCAAACTGTTTCAGTTCTTCCTCGGTGTACACCGGTCGGGTGTCTAGGGTCTAAAGAGAGAGAGAGACAACAGGAAAATATGAAGGAAAAACAAAGATTACTCCTGTCAACAACATTTGTCCGTTTCAGTCAACAAATGGATTGGTTACCTGGCAGTAAAAAAAAAAAACAAAAAAAAAAACATATCTGAATTCTGTGCCTACAGTGCAACGTAACTTGATTTTCGCCTTAAGATGGTATGTAATACACCTATGCTAACATCATAATCTAGGAAAGAAGTTCCCAGTAAAATGTTTTTACATTGACAGAACTCCCACGTAAATGCAAAGCAGAGGATGAAGCCTTGATGTGTGTCCATTTTTTTTTGTTTTTTTGTCTTTTTTTGTGTGGGTGTGCAAAATTTTCTCATGAACCAAAGGGGGCGTCCACTAGAGAACATTTGGGAACCACTGATCTGGCACATAAAATCATTATTAATCAAGAGTCTGACTTACAATTTGAAGCTGTAATGAAAGTCAAGAAAGCAAATGAAGCACAATCCAATGTATAGTGTAATGTGATTTTTTTTTTTTTTAACAAACTACATTGGAATGATTTATAAAGACTTTCTTAAAACAATTATGGGGAGATTGCAAACATAACCACAAAACACCATAGGTCGAGGATGTCGTAAACCAAGAAGCCCCTGTACTCATTGACACAATTTCCTTGACCTCATCTTGAACCACAACATGTGCGATACTTCACAAAACACTCCACGGGCAGTTTACCTCCCACTCTTTGGGATTATTGAACTCCTGCTTCTCAGTGGACTTCAGGAACTCCTCCAGGCTGACCAGCCGATCTTTGTTAGTATCCACCTTAAAACGTAAAAAAAAAAAAAAAAAAGTAGTGGTTATTTCGGTTGACAACTATGAAAAAATAAACACATCATGTAGCGAACATTTGTGTATTTTGTATCTTTCATTCACAGAGTAGAGCCAAAACAATAAGTAAAAGATCCGATTCAAGATTCGATCTTCCCGGAACTACTTACATTTGGTAACAAAATTATTACATACATGATCAAGACAAGTGCAGAAAAAAAACTAACTGGAGACTTACATTATTCATGAAATGCTCCCTCATTCTTAGCCTTTCTTCCTCCATTTCCATCATATCATCCTCTGCATTGTTAGGGTCGTAGACCTTCTCCAACTTGAAATGAAAAAAAAAAAACAACCGTCAGCTGCTTTAGCAGGAATTTAAAAAAAAAAAGGTGGGATGAAAAAAGATTAACAAAATGGATTGTGTGCCGTTTCATACCTCTTTCGTGAAGAGAGCTTCTAATTCATTTTCATCTAAAATGCCATCTTCGTTTGTATCTAAACAACGTGAAACATATGACAAACATGTTCATTTCATTTCAAATTTAAAAGAAAAAAAAGACTCAAATGAAATGCTTTCACCCACCGTGCAGTTTAAAGAAGGTTTTGGGGTTAAATTCCTGTGGATCCAGTCCATCCGTCTCCTCCCAGACTTCCCTCAGCTGAGCAACGCTACCCTGAGCATCACAAGAAGGAGGCATGAGTATCTGAGATTAACCCTTTGCAGTTAATGACTCACAAATGCTTCTAAACGCACCGGAGCATTGACTTTTGGGTGCTGCCGGTGTTTTTCCTTCAGCTCCTGCATCATTTTCTCCTCTTTATTCCTCTTTTCTTGGTCCAGGCCCTTAAGGTACTCCCGCCTCTCATGCTCCTTCAGCATCTCATACCGCTTGAACTCCTCATGTCTCTCAACATCGAAGTTTTCCAGGTCCTTGGTGGCCTAGACAAAATGGGTGGTTGATACTTCGTCTACTTTTTCCTTCGGCTTTGTCCCTTTTTTCAGGGGTCGCCACAGCGAATCACTGATTTCAGAACTGAACCGCCATTAGGGTTTTGAAGCTTGTGCCGAGATGCAATAATTCGTCACATTAAATCACAAGCTCGATCTCCAATAACCTAGATACCGTGAGACCTCTGGTGGCTGCTCAGTACAGAAGGTGAGCTAGCGAACTCGCTATCATTTATCATTGTGATAAACAAGTGGTTAAACACACCCATCGTTGTTATGGGCCTGAGGTTTTTAATGTACTCTACTTCATGTTGAAAACAGAGATTCACCGATTGTAAAATTCTGGGGAAATACTAAAATCTAGGCTTAAAATAAAAACGTTTTTGTTATTTATTCGCTCTTTTGTGCCACAGAAACATGGCTGACATTGCTGAACTGTTTTAGCAGTTGAAAAATGAAAATTAACATTACAATTTCGTGTGAATTTTTCGTTATGAAGAGATATGTATTTTGTGTGATCTGTACACCTGACATCTACTGCACTCTACTCTTACTGAAGTTCTTCAATTTCAATTTTTCCATTCAAAACAGAACGGAGCTAGAAAAAAAAGATATTAAATTAAAATGAACGAAATTCAATTGAACTGAAATGAAATGTATTCAAAATTGATGGCTAAAGTCTGATTTTACCTAAGGTTGGCAGCCACAGAAGCGCGGGGAATTTAATGAATAAATGAATGAATTGGCTGATTCAATAATTCAATCATTAGTTAATTCGATTGGTATAAACAAACTATCCCATTACAGTTGGAACTGCACGTATTGGGGATCACCGCTTGCTTCGTGGACTTACTGTGGAGATCAGTAGCTCCAAGTCTTTGGCCTCAAAAGTGTTTTGATTGTGTGGATCCAAGTGTTCAAACTGTTTCAGCAAAGACGCATGGTCAATTGGCACATTCCTGCAAAGCGACAAAAAACAGTCAACAACAAAAGTGCTACACGGGGATCACGTCTTGTGGGATCAAAAGATACCATTTGCCAACAACAGAGCAAAAACCATAGGGCTAAAAATGTTGATACCCGATAAATATGCTGACATTTAAAACCTTCTTTCTTTAAATTTTCAGATTTTTATTTCAAAAGCCAAACCAAGACTTTAAAAAACACCTGTTACCTTTGCTCTGATCTGAAGAAGTTTCTACTTCTTCACAAACACATTAAAGTCCATCAGCTAAAGGTCAGACTAAAATATTCAATAAACCTCAGAAATTCTGTCCTGCAGTCATGAAACTAGGTTAGCGTTTCATGACCGGTCCTACATAAAATAAATTACAAAACCAAAAATGGGGCCGAATGAACGTACTCTGTGAGTTGGTGCTGTCCACTTTCGCCTTCAGTAACATCCTCAGCCGGGAAACTTCCTGACGCTTCAGCTCATCCAAACGAGTCCTAACGTGATGACTGACTAGGTCGAGCTCATTACTTAGGTGACCATTCTGATGGAGGACAGCAACAACACAAAAAACACACCCAGACAGATATAAGTGTAAAGAGAGCAATTAAAAATAAACTTCGACTGTTCTCTAAGACATTTGAACAAACCCTTATGTCCTCTGCGTTCGCCGTCTGCAGCTTCTCTCTGAAATGAGGGTCGGTCTCCAGAACCTCGATCACTTCTCGGAGGTATCGATCATAGTACAGACCAGTGTCCTGCAACATCATGTTGTGAATAAGGGTTATTGTTATGTGAGCAAAGCCCATGTGCAATAAATGTAAGGGGGAAAAAAAAGTACCGTGTTATCTTCTTGAACATTCTCTTTGACCTCTTGGGTCCCTCCATTGCGGTCAATAGGCACTGGACAGACCGGAGCAGTGATGGAGAGGAGCGCCAGAACCAGCCAGCCAGGTTTCAGATTCATCCACCTGAAATTTTACGAGGAATTAGCCTCAAAACGCAACAGAACTACCCGTGTTGGGAAAATGAAAGTGAGACACACAACAACAAATGTGACCTGTTAAAAGCAGAGAGCACTTTTTTTTAACAAATGTGACCTGTTAAAAGCAGAGATCACATTTTTTTTGCTGCTTTTTAACCCATCACCGAAGTAAACAGTGGGCAGCTATAAGCTGCCTGGGGCAGCAGTGAGTGGGGACGGTGACACACCTGAGTGGTAACTTGGCAGCCGGTGGACTCAAACCTGAAGCCTTCCGGACCTAAGTCCGCTTCCTTAACCGCTAAGCTACCACCGCCGGGTAGACCTCCTGTGTGGTACCAGTGCCTAAGACACCAGACACAGTCACACATGGTCCTGGCTCATACATAAAGAACAGAGGACTGATACGTAGGAAGCAACAACCACCTCCAACACTTGTGAACATCCAGGGAATGGACATGGAGATGGTGGACATCCAAGTAGCTGGGTGTTCACCTGAACTTAATTTTGGACTCGTCTGATCACGCTGCTGCTCTGTCCAGGAAGGGTCAGAGCAGACTGCGTACCTGCAGAAGAGACCGAGGACATTTAGGGTGCATGGGGCACTCCTTAAGACCTTCTACGACTCTGTGGTGGCATGAGGTGGCATCTTTTTATGGAGTGTTATGCTGGGCCAGTGGCATCTCGACAGCAGATAGGAAGAGGCTGGACAGACTGATAAGAAAAGCCAGCTGTGTTCTATAATGCCCTCTGGACAAAACAATCAGACTGAACCATCACTTCCCCACATAAAAACCGAAAATATGTGAAATGTATTTCAGGAAATACTGTATGTTCAATATCTTAACTTTCACATGTAATATTATGTACTTGATCCCTTCTGTGTGTTACAGTGACAACCTTAATATGTGCATATTATCGACTGTTATATGTTTGTTTTGATTATCTGCAATAGTTAATTTAATATTACAGTTATTATTTTTAACTGCGATATTTCATAGTAGCTTGTGCTTCTGCAAATTAACTTGTATAACTGTTAGAAACGTCACGCTGACATCTCTATTACTATAGCACTATTTTATACTACTGCTATTCTTCTTTATACCCTGTACTGTACTCTGCTGCTGTTAACGCTGTGATTCACCCCGAGTAAATGATTTTTTTTTTATCTTATCCTATCAAAACGGAATAACTTGCTAATTCGACATACGTTATCTATATTATACTCGTATATAGCTACAAGCTACATCCACTATAGCTTGCAGCTTACCGGTTTTTGTTAGCTTACAAAGGAGAAAACAATTACGCGTGTAATGACACGGGTCAGGGTGATTTTTTAAGGCGTTGCTGACAGGACAAAAAGTGTAAAGCACTCTGTTCTTTAACTACTGCGAAGTACATTTTCCTGTAGGAAAACAACAACACCGTCGTTTCGAGATTTTAACATTTTCAGTGGTTTCTTTTTAATAGTTCTTTCCCAAATAAAAATACAATATAAATGCGTTTTAACAAATACATTTAACCAAGATACATGTCTCTTACCACATATTCTTTATCGGCCACAGGATAAAACCCGTGAAATTCACTTCTGTCGGGGGAAATTGACGTCACGACCTGGCATGGGTATCTGCGCCGTGCTGCTTTCAAATGGCATGGGAAATGGTATACTGGGCATACAAAGGTAGACTCGACAATAGTGTGGAAACCAGATGATCTATGTACATGTGGGATATGCGTTCGTATTTATTTAATGTTTTACAAAACATGTGTCAAACTAAGATCTAAGGACGTAACTAAATCACAGACATGCCATATAAAAATATAAATTGTCCTATTTTGGGGGAAAATAGCATTCGACATAGCTGCGCATAGCAACAGGAATTTATCCAATCAGCGTTGTCGAATATGATAGTTTAGGAGCGATTAATTTGTCGCATTCGTTTTCTATGACGGAGTGGATATCTGCAGATATTGAAAGTAATGTACCCGGATACCACAGACAAATGATTACAAAATCCATAGACACATTACTACAATATATTCAATTTTATATTGTCTATAGTCAATTTTGCCCCCTGTCACACCATGTGGCGTGCCTCTTGCGTTGCCTATTTACTAATTACCCACCGTTTCATGTGCTGAGCTTTGCACTTCTGCCACAAGGTGTCACTGGTGTAACAGTCAACAGCATTACCTGTAAATATGATTAAGTAATCTGTTTACATGTTCAGTTTCAAATGCAAAACTTGTGTTTGGCAATATGCTGTTTATGTTTTTGTGTAAGAATGCCTCAACTATGCAATGATGGCATTAAATAATTGATTAATTGTAAAAGTAAAACTGCCCATCTACAAATCTTAATTTGTAGAATACACGATTTAAAATTTGCCTTGTTTGCATTTGAAAGTAAAACTGCCCATCTACAAATCTTGAGTAAAAGTAAAAAAAAATACAGGATTTAAAATTTGCCTTGTTTGCATTTAAAAAAAATGTCAGTGTCATTCCTACATGAAACTTTGAGAACCTTTACCCCAATGCGGAATTAGTTCAACAAAAAAAAAACAACATAAACAGACAAAGCACAAAAAATAATATATTGTATTTTGTAGAACATATGATTTATTTAGTAAAATATATATTTTTTATAATAAATTAAGTACAAAAACATTAAATCGACATTCTGAAATAATTTAGTGTTTTAGAAAACTGAACATAAATTGCACATGACAAAATAAAATCACAGGAGAAATAAAGTTAGACTGGCACCCAATACAATAATAATAATAATAATAATAATAATAATAATAATAATAATAATAATAATAATAATAATAATAATAATAATAATAATAATAATAATAATAATAATAATAATAATAATAATAATAATAATAATAATAATAATAATAATAATAATAATAATAATAATAATAATAATAATAATAATAACAACAACAACAACAATAATAATAACAACAATAACAATAATAATAACAACAATAATAATAATGGAAAATATATTAAGATACATTAAACAAAACATTGGCAATTTGAGGTCATATTAGGCTGAATGACTTATGAGTTTGACGAACTTCAACGGTTTTGATTGGTTTACACTTATCAGAGCAGCTTATTGGGAATTTAAAAGTTGATCTCCCTCATGTCAGTTGGCGTCCTGGCTCTCTCGTCTTCTACTTCCTCGTCCTTCTCTGAGGGACCTATCTGAGGGCTACTCCTTAGCCGGTGATGAAGGCCGTATTCAATCATTTCACTGTAGTATTGCAGCACCGCCTGAGGTACACACCAAATAATGGGTTAATGTGATATCTTATTGATAACAATCACAGAAATTACAATGAATGAAAACATTTCCACCCATGGCATGACAGAAATGAAATTGAGAACCACTGCTTTAACCTAGCCATTTCGTCATCGTGGTGCATCCACCCAAGAGTAAATTCCTTTATTGAGTCCATAAAAACAAGACGCACCATAAAAAACAACAAGATGAGGCACCAAAACAAGGATGATAAAAACCTAAACCAAGAAGGTTCTGCTCAGGTAGGCAAGGGGAATTAAGAAGATGGCCACTGTGAACACTCACTATCACAACACCTAAGTGAAAGGTCAAGGTCCAGCCACTGTCCAGAACAGATTTTATTTACATTCCTTTAAATACTGTTTCCTATTATTTGTTGATTTGCCTGCTGTTCAAGCACTATCATAAACAAGATAAGAGATAAAAGATTACTTATTATTTTTGGGAAATCATATCCATAGGGCTGGCGCAGGGAAAACTGAGTTGCTGTAGGCCTAGACCGCCAGGGGGACCTCCCATGGTGCACTAAGCATGTTATCCTTCCCCACTCTTAAAGGAAATGCATACATAATGTTATGACGATAACCTGTTCTCCTCCATTTTGTACACTTTTCTAATTGTTTTTCTAACGTTCATAAACAACATTTCTTGCTAACTGTAGCACATTTTAGGATGCAGTATTGCACAATAATCTTAAGGGGAACAAATACAAACAACGAATACGGTCCTAGTCTGTACTCACCAGGTCGCTCTGGCACAACTCCGCCAATGTTTCGCTTGTGCGTTCCAGCTGAGTAACCCCTTTTTTGCCCAGACCTCTTAACGCACAGACCAGGGAGGCAGCAGCCACGAGGGAAGGTGGAACTCCCAAAAAGCGGGAGTCGCAGACACACATAACAGCCAAGGTGTCACTGTGTCTCCTGAGGGTAGACAGCAGCTCCTCTTCGTCTTCTTCATTGGTGTCATTTCCTCTTGCTCTTTCTCCCTCTGCCACAGAAACAAGGAAGTGTGGAAGGAAGTCCTGAGGAGTTACAGCCGCTGTGTCCCACCTGAGGGTGGCCAGAATGACACGCTCCATTTCCTGAAGGAAAACAAGGGAAATGATGTGTTTGCCCAGAATGACACGCTCCATTTCCTGAAGGGAAACAAGGGAAATTATGTGTTTAATGAGAAATACATGGCAGTCCTGTTCGCCAGACTCACTTACAAACGCCTTGGAAGCGAATTTAAAGTGACACAATTTTGTTTTTTTTAGTTGAATGACTCAAATGTTTGTGATATGTTTTTCTATTAAGTTAAACAATTTCTATCCAATCATCCAATCAGCAATTTATGTCAATATCACTGTATATATACACTTAACATTAGGAATTGATCATTTGTTCATTTTAAGGAGTTAGTCGTGTCTAGACTGATTTGATTTTGTCCCGGACACTTTTTCTACTCACACTAATACAGTGCGCCTCCTGGTGGATTATTTAGGAATCTTTAAGAATTATTACGAATTTCAAGTCTTTTCAGTTCACTTTTTTTTAATTTCAAAATCCATCAAGATGGCCGGATTGTACGCCCCCCCCCCCCCCCCTTTGCCCCCCCCCCCCCCCCCCAGCGGCCCGATTTTTGGCCCATGGGCCGTATGTTTGACACCCCTGCATTAATTAAGCTTTCATCTAGAATATATTCAAATATAATGGTTTTTTTTTACTATTATTTTTATTTCAAAGTCTTGTAGTTTTATGTAATTATTATGTTATTCAAAATTATATAATTTATTTCAATAAAATATAAATATAAAATACAACAAAATGTGATTATCATTCAATTTTCTGTCTGCTGAGGGACTTGTGAAATGTCAGCTTACAAAAAGACTCCAAAGGTGCTGGAGGACCGGACTCACCCTCAAGCTCGACGCCTCAAAGTTGTTCTCAACGGCCGCACAAAGCGCGTCAGCTGTAACGTTGTCACATTCTATGAGTTTGGAGGCAATAAGGATGCAGCCTGCAGCCAGGCAGTATGGTGAGATAGGCAAGGACAAGGAGGCAGACAGGAACCTGTCAATCAGAGAGATGGACAGAGGGAAGACAGCTTCATCACAGCCGCATTCAAAGCACACCTAGAGGAGAGAGAAAGAAAGAAAAAAAAAAAAGTATATAAAAAAGATAAATTGTCGACAAAACAGCACACACCCTGCATTGAAATTTGGAGTTAAATGAAGTAGTAAAGAGTCTCATACATCCAGGGCCCATTTAGTGAGCTCCTCCCTTTGCTGTGGATTTCTCTGGATGAGAGCGATGTAGAGTGCGGAGGGCAGGTATCGCTCCTCTACGTGAAGAAGTTTTTGAATCACGCGGTTTCCGGACACCGTGGGGTCCCAGGTGGCTCGCAACGGCGTTGAGCCCCTGGCGACGGGCTCCAGATTTTGCACCTGCTCCTGTCTGAGGTCATCGTCCACCTCTTCACACCAGAGAGACAGATCCATCTGAACGACTCGGTGTGTGCAAAACCCGGCAGAAGTGGTGTCCTTTAGTTGACATCCCTGTAGATCTTCCATCGTCACCTGTTCTGACGTCTGTGCTGAATCTCACTTGATCACCAATGACTTTTATACTCAGTAGGAAGAGAGAGAGAGAGAGAGAGAAAAAAAAAAAAGGGGGGGGGAGGGTGTGGAGCAGGGCGGAGACTCATGTGACTGACAATGGGAAGATAACAATACAGTGTGAGCAACAATTGCTTCAACAGGTGGGGAAAGAGAGGAGACGGAGGGAGGAGAAAGGAGGAGGTGACCAAAAGCGCAGACAAGAGAGGGAGTGGTCCTCGGGGACAGAGCAACAGCTTGTACCCGACAGTAAAAGAGAAGTAAAAAGAAAAGACCATGAAGGGTGGGGGGGTGAGAGAGAGAGAGAGAGAGGGAGAGAGAGACAGAGACAGAGAGAGGGGTCACCTTTTGACTGTGACAATGGATATGAGGAACAAATGAATGGGCTCGTGTGTGTGTTTTTAACATGTCAGAGGGGAGAAGTTAACACCGACATACAGCAAATGTCCGCGACAGACAGGTTATGCGACAACAAACAAACAAATATGTATACGTACATAAAATATTCATAATTATTTTTAAAATTTGCTAAATGATCTGAAAACATAAAAAACATTAATTGTTTAGTTTAATTAATTTTTTTTATTTTTAAGACATTTTTAAGAAAGCTAGGATTTTCTTTTAGCTGAGAATACCAATTTGTTAGCGTAATATTGTGACTTTATATCACGAGAACTTTTAATTTAGTTGAAATTAAATAAGCTTTAAATTCCTAATGAAATGTTTTTCGATATATATATTTCTTATAATTTCAGTTTTCTCTGTCGTAGTCTATGTAGCAATGATATAAATAACTATAATAATTTTGAGATTATTTATTCAGTAACAGATTTCTTTTTTATTCTAGATGATTAGGGCTTTCATTATTGACTTTCACTTCATATAGAATTTGATCACGAAACACATGATAGACAGTATTTTCCGGATTATAAGTCACTTTGTAGTATAAGTCGCACCAACCGAACAAATGCGTAAGGAAGAAGAAAAGACACATATATGTCTCTCTAAGTCTCTTTAAAAAAAAAAAAAGTGTGACTTACAGGAGTAGCAGATACTGGTTCACAAGCCTAGAGTGCCCTCTAGCGGCTGTCATTGTAAAAATAACAAACATGAGAAATTATATATTTTAATATATAAGTCGTACCTGAGTAGTAGTCACAAACCCTGCCAAAAAATAAAACATTTTTTATTGTTTTTTTTTTTACATTTTGTCTTTAACTGAGAC